AACCCACTTGTGACATTATGATCACACCAACTTATCTGGCCGCGCCACAGGGGGATTTGCCATAACACAGAAATTAGCTGTGAATCCCATCACAACCTCTAAAAACAATATGGGCCAAGATCTATCATCAGTTGCAGTGTTCCCTCGCTCCCGAACATCTCCCAAACCTTTCACAAAATGATTATAGGTGCCACAATAAGATTAACGTCATTACCTGGAAGGCCAGTTCAGCTGAGGCCTCATCTAGAGACACCCACTCGTGTGAGCCTCAATGAGCCTGGTCGTATCTGATGACACGTGTCTCATGGAATTTACGACTGAGTTGTACTTGTAAATCGTTCACTTAGGAGATAAATGTTTGCCGGTTTCATATTTCCGGGCATCAAATACGCAAAAACTCCTTCACATTTCCCGTAGCAGTCTCCTTATCCCCCTACGTGAAAACTCACGGTTGTAAGACATGACGTCAAACTGGAATACTACGTCACTCTGGAATGATATAAAGTCATCATACAATGTTTGACGTCATTTGCTTGTGTGAGAACCGAACCCGCCTTGCCCAAATAATGTGGAAATAAACAACCTAATTGAAGTTATTCTGATACATATTGATAATTTCGCCAAGCCGAATGGCACATGTTTTGTTTTTCAAATTTGAAATGTTTTATCAAGATTTATTTATTGCTACGCAGTTAAAAAGATTTCCCGAATGCAGTTCACTGTTATTTTAACAACATTTTCAATCAAGCAGAATGCACTCAGTTCAGACCGAGTCCGTTCAAAGTAAATCGTTGAAGTGTTTTAAATTTAAAGTGAAAAGTAACTTTGTTGACGGCCAAGCCTCGTAAGTATTATGCCAAGCCTATGTAAGAAATAGCGGTTGCATGCAACTGGAATGCTTGAAATGGGAATTGCACAAAACGTTGTTGCCTGGTGTCTTGGTGTTCATCGTAACACCATACATACACTATTGGGTTGGTATTAATACCAGGGACCGATCGCGCGTTCTGGACGTCGACGAGTAACATCACGTTTATCACATCTGTCGGGTTCACCTTCGAAATCGGTTTCAGGCTACAACTTTGATAGCCACTCTATCATTGGCTAACATCCGATGAGTGCAAGGACTGTGATGAATTGATTAAGAGAGCATAACGTCCCACAACGACGTCAAGATGTACGTTCAGTCTTCCTACCACGTCATCGAACTGCGCGCCTGGGATGGTCAAGACCCAGATGAGGTTTATGTTACAGGTCTGGGGGTTAATCTCATTCAAAGATGAATTCAAGGTTTCATCTTAGCAGTGATGGCCGTGCGCGTATGCTCTTCATCGCTCTGCCTTCGGTGATGGGAGCATTATGGGTAAGGGAGTGAGTGCGTGAGTTAAAATTTAACGTCGCATCGGCATTATTTCAGCGAGCGGGAGCATTAAGGTGTTGGTGTTATTTTGTTATTGCACATGGCAGGACCACTCTAGTGGCTATCGGTGGCAGTTAGACAGGTATATACGGTACCGTGATGAAGTTATCTGTCCTCGCGTCCTCCTGTTCATTCAGCCCTGTTGACACATCACGTTACAGCAGGCCAATGCACGTCCTCTCGCATCTTCCCGAGGCAAGGGGGGACACTGGACTTGTATAGAGAGACGTTTACAGAGGACATGTGTTGACACTGCTTGATGGATACGTGTTTCATGGACATCAAAATATTATTCTGTTACAAAATCGTTCTTCTATTTATCATTTCTGACGCAAGTCAGTGATGCACAGGAACTTTCTGCCGCTGGTATATATATATATATATATTTAAATGTTGGTGTCAGCAGAAGTGGTAAACGTCTGAGACCTGCATCAAATTACGTGATTGAGATCTAGTTCTTCAGCAACCCATGCATGCCGTAAAAGGCGACTGTGCTTGTCGTAAGAGGCGACTAACAGGATCGGATGGTCAGGCTCGCTGACTTGGTTGATGCATGTCATCGATCCCAATTGCGTGGATCGATGCTCATGATGTCAATCACTGGATTGTCTGGTCCAGACTCGATTATATACAGACCGCCGTCACATAGCTCGAATATTGCTGAGTGCGGCGTTAAGCAACAAACAAACAAACTTTATTACCCTTATCCATACACATACACAACTGAAGCAAAACTAAATCTATTTCAATCAAATTCATATTTCATATGCTCGGAGTTAGTGACAATCACTTATATAGTATATTGTATGTTCGACAACGTAAACTGCATACAGTAAATTGTCCGTGAATATCCCTATTTTAGACTTAGATTTTAGTAATCAATAATACTTTTAGATATGAAGTAAACGATCTTGTTCCATTTGGGAGTACTCGACAACATAGGTGACTTCATATCAAGCGAAACACATTCAACGCACCATTTGCTGTATCCGCCTTTGGTCGCAATACAATCCATAAACAGGCACTGAGCTGGCTCTTTTTGGACCATGCCACGTGGTGACAGCTGATGATTAATGACCAAGAGATGACTCTGACAGACAAAGCATTCTTAATTCAATAAAAGAGAGACATAAACAGATTAACGCAAATTGATCTACAGGTGCTCATCTTTTGATAATAAATATTCTGGAGTTTAAAACCTTAATCCAGATTTCAAATTGCCGCTAAGCTAATTACTTATCTGAAATATTGTTGTATTTGAAAATTGAAATTTGTTTCGGACTTTAATATTGGTCTCTATCTTCTGTCATATTTGCAATTCATTGATAAGAAATGGTACCATTTAGTCTCATGTCTATTTTAATGTATGGTTCCACGGTCCACAGTTCGGTGATTTGGTCTTTTTTTAATCACACACTCAAGGACTGGACTACGTGACGAATACCACATATCACATGTGGGCGAAGAGTGGTCAGTTAATGAAGATCACACTATTGACCAAAACACTGTGTAACAATGTATATGTTAAACGCCGCTTTGAGCATTAGTTCAGATACAATACGTGTTTCATTTTGGAGCTGTATCCGTAGTAACGAAAGTGATGGCCTTTCATACCTCTTCATAACAAAACTGCAGCCTCTTTGACCTCTAGGCCATCCGTTCCCCATATACTTTATAACCCTGGGATTCCAAATCGATGTCTCAAAGATTATCCATAATCCTTATTACAAAATCAAGCAATTAATTTCATTATATTCACAGAAAGCATGTAGACAAACGTGGAATTAACACTATCTTATTCTGAAAACGTCAAAAGATTTGCTTGAATCTCAAAAAAGAGCCAGGCTCAATCATGTCAAAACATTTAATTTTCCAACTGTGCATACCACTATATCTCACGGAGAACTTCTTCCTTGCTCCACGGGGCTTCTGTTACTAAACGTTGTGAAGTAAGATATAGTTACATCTCCATACTCAGAGATTCAGGACGATTTGTCAAAGTGAAAGCAAATGTCATCTGAAGTTAACTAAGAAAACATGTGAAATGCTGGACTCCCACATTGACAGCATATCAATTTATGTGCAATTTGGCAATTCTTCGGCAAGAAGAAGGCATCTCTTGATGGACACCGGTTGTGCTCGCCTTCTGTACCCTTATGTGAGTGAGTGAGTGAGTGAGTTGGGGGTAACGCCGCTTTTAACAGTATTCCAGTTATATCACGGCGTGTCAGCTTAATGTGGGAGGAAACCCCGAAGTGATGCAGGTCTCAGACGTTTACCACTTCAGTGAAACCAACGAGCACGGGTATGGTGCTGACAAACTTAGAAACATAATCGGGGCGAAACGGGATTCGAACCCACAATCATAGGTTTCTGGCGTGCCCAAGGGACGCAACTCTGCACAGCGAATCGCGGCGCCTTAGACGACTGGGCCACCCGTGCGCCCTGTACCTTTATGTAAATGAATCGGAATTTCTGCTCGGATTGGCAAAATCAAAGATTTTAAAGAAGGAAATGTGTCCAAAAGTTAAACTTAAGCTTCAGGTATATCGATAATCTGATATCGTTAAATACCGGTAAAACAACCAATTCCTTTCCACCAATGTACCCAACTCAACTAGAAATAAAAGAGGTCAGCGTGAAACCGTCTCATCTGTTAGATATTTATATTTTTATGCATGAAGATTCAGAGAGAGAAAAACTATCAGCAAGACTGTATGACAAAAGCGATGACGTCGAGAAATATTCCAGCAAGTCCAGTCGTTGGTGACTTCATTTGACAACTTGTGAGGTACAATTCATCAAACAATGTTCTATAACGAATATTTCCAAGAACGTCATACGACTCTTGCTAAAAAAATATTTGGTCGGGATTACCACATTCAAGGCCCCAGTGAAGCTATCAAAAACTGAATGGTTGACGTGACAAAATTTATGTCCGATGCAATTCCCTATTTTGATTTGCACAGAACGTGTGCATGTATGTTGCCTTGTTTTGTTGAGGTGACCCACTGACTTGTCTTTGCGTGTGTTTGTGACAGATACCACAGGGGGGGCAGGATACGTTCACCTTTACGCGTACACTTGTTGTCATCAAAATTTAATCGTGATTCATAAACACATGCCCATAATATAGTCAGAATTCCTACGATTATGGAAAGGGTTTTGTTGCTTTAATTCATTAAGATTTAAACATTTCACCAAGTTTTATTGTCTTGTGCCTGTCAAGAACACAGCAAATCTTTGACTTCTTATGGGCACTCTTGTCCCGTAAGTTTATTCATGGTTAAATTGTCCATGAAGTTACGGCCTTGTACAATCTTTCCAAGTATCTTTTCACAAGCCTCTAAAACATGACAAAGTAGACCAAATAAAACATGTGAACAATAATCAAATGGGCCATATGAACACTTCATGCATGGCGCCCCTTGTAACTTGAACCAGAATATCCTCTTGAATTGACTACCAATTGCAACCAAAGTTCTGAGAACAACGAGCTGGATCTTTTCATTGTACATGCTGGTTCCAACATGTACGTCAAATATTCATGTAAATATCGAATAAAAAATACGTTATTTTCTGACATTTAGTTTTTATTTTCGTGTAAACTGTACAAAGTGATTTATGGAATTAGGTCTGAAGTAAGGAAAGTGACTTAATATTCTATGTGTTATAATTGAGGAAAATGAGGATTAACACAGGTTTACAGCACAAAAAGTGTATGAAGAGATTGCCTTGATTTTATTGCTATACTAACAATGTCACACCGACAGTCACAATAGGATTACGTGTCGGATACAAACATACAAACACACAATAAAACAAATAACCGCATGTAATTTACAAACAAATTAATACATATATTTGACTATGTCATATGCAACAGCAAGACTTTTAATATTATTAACAATATAACTTGACCGATTCCCTGATATTTGGACGCTGGATGCAAGAAACATATATTAAACTGTTTTCCGTTTATGTGCTTTGATAAAGTAAACAACTCTAAAACAACTGAAAAATCAACATTTTCAAATCAACAGTTAAACCGTTGTGTTTCTGAATGAGGCAATTACCCTGTCTATAGTATAAACAGTTTTGCAAAATGAGCCAAGAAGAGACAAACCATTCAGTGATAAAAGTGTGAAGCTAAATGGTTTCCTGGAAGATGAAAGAAATTATAGATTTACTGTTAAGTAGCCATGCCAAGGCAGTGATAGCCCATCCATTGTCTTGTGATGCCACGACAACGCTAGTGATTTGGGTGTAGTGCATGTATTCATAGATTGTGTGCTGTAATGGCGAGAAGCCACTCCTGGCCTGTAATGCAGCTACGCTGTCACATGAAGCCAAAAGTAGTCCTAGAAACCACCAACAAAGTAAAAGACAAAAACTTATATGCTAAACATAGGCTAACTCCATCTCCTTACTGCAGAGCGACCCCAGTCCAGTCTGTCCTATTCCGATCATCAGTGACAAATAGAGAACCTTTATTGGAGAATCATCGCTTCACTAATAATGTCGTCTTGTCTTTCCCGTTATCATCCTCGGGCCGTGTATGGACAGTTAAGTAGAGACGGAGCGGTCTTTACGGGAACAATTTCCCTATCAAAGGACAGAGAGATCTTCTCATCCTAATACATAATCGTTGGCGTTAAGAGGCTTCATTCAAAAGACCGTGCCTTTGAAGTCTCCCAATAAACCAACAGGCACCAATGGCATTCTGTCATTGCCAAATGTCCAACGGCAAGTTCTGCCTGGTCTCTGCATTCCTGTTCACCAGATTATCATCTCGGTTGATTGTCGGAGACACCGTCTCTGAAAGCTAATCCCACAAGCAATCTTTATATCGTATGTAGCCATCTGTAAATATTGCATGTGGGAGGACTGATTGGGTTCGGTCAGCAATGCCCAAATTGGTCGACATACCATTATGTCTTACATACCGGTATAGAAAAGTTTAACCACAAAGATATGTTCTAGTCAGCACTGTTTATGTTTAATTCAACATGAATATCTTTGATGATGTAGTCTTTGGTCAAACTGTCACCAATTTCACTGTGATCGTATGTGCCTGCATCAATTGTTCGAGGGTCCTGTGTCTTTACCCTGCTGTGTCCCCCATCTCGTTGTGTGTCTAGAATGTCATTGCTTCCTTCATGATATGGCTGATGAACTTGAAGACATCCGACCATGCCTGTTCTAGTTCCGGGGTCCACTTGTCTCCAACCACTGGCTGAATGGCCCAAATAAACTGAGGGCCGATCAACTGGAACATAAAACGCCTTTATTAAAACAATGAAAAAAATGATTGTGAAAGAGCCACCTATCGGTATTAAACTAGAATTTGTATTCCTATAAACGTATCGTGAGTGGCTGAATATTGTCATAATTAAGTGCCGTCATCACATTATTCCGGGCACATCACGTCAGCCTGTATTTAATCGAAGGCTGACCAGGCAAACCAGTGAGCGAAAACATGAGCAACAATCCACGCTATCGGGACACGATAACACGCAAACAAAGGAGTCAACGAATCTCTTCCCCAGAATCCCAACGAAAGCAAGGGGGGAACACGTGGAAATATTTATGCTTCGTGCCTCACTGGCTGTGCATGTTGTCTCTTGGTACATGTATATATTAAAACTCTTAGGTGTCGTCCTTTCCCATCTGCGCCATATTATCTTCCATCGGTAATTAATGATAAATGTACATTACAGTGTGTGTGTCCTTATGTATAATGATATGTTTTACACCCTATTCATCTGTTTTGAATACCGTTACTCTGGTATGAATTGTGCGAATGCGCAATGGGTGAGTGAGTATGTTTTACGACGCTTTCAGCGATATTCCAGCGATATCAATGCGGGGGACACCAGAAATAGGCTTCACATATTGTACCCATGTCGGGAATCAAACCCGGGTCTTCGGCGTGACGAGCAAACGTTTCAACCACTAGGCTACAGGACCGACCCCATGAGCAATGGAATTAGTTAGGTAATACTATTTCTCATAACAGGTAGTCTCAACTTTAGGTTGTCTTTCCAACATGCAGCTGAGACGACGAAGTTGAAATAATAATTGACGACAACAATGAACAGAAATAAAAATGATTCTATAAGCAATGGAATATGCACAATATATACAGACGTAAAAAACAACGTTTCAATAATCTTCTGAAAGTGTTGGCTTTCATCTTTTGGCTTCATGGCAGAAAATAGATTGGATAGCATTAATCAAAGCAATGAAAGGAAACGATTTAAGCACCTCCAGGAGGTTTTAGCACATCTTTTGCCATTACAAGCCAGGAGAAATATCTGTTAAAGGGGAAGGTCTGAAACTAATGAATATATGTCGAGTTTTGACGCAGGGTTCTTGAGGAAAGGTCACGAGGCGCCATGGGTACCGACCTGATTATAGTCCCGTGATCAAAAAGACTATCTCTAATTAGGCTCAAACCTGCATCATCTCATCTTTTTTCTCTCCCAATTATAATCTGATAGCAGCACGTCATTAAATCATGAATCATGAATCACAATATCAAAAATACCTTTATTGTGGCAGTTACCGCCCAAGAAAAAATCAATATTTTACTGAAGAAAAGTGGGTTTTTTATCTTCCATCAACACGACAAATATTAATCTGACATCATGTTTTTTAAGAAAGAAATCCGACACATGACGACTTCACAACTTTCATCATATTCATGTTCTATGACGCACTTGTATTAAGCAAAGGCATAAATATTAACTTTGAAACATCATGTAAAACTCTTCAATCACGATGTTAAATAGCCTGTCACTCCATTATTAGGAAATCTATACAGTTCCTTTCATGGAATCTGAAATTACTGTTCCAGGAATACCACTCAGAATTCTGGTGGTTGAATTTATTGGATGATCACTACACTGAAAAGATGTTCTTATCAAGACTCTCTAAACATGCCATGAACCCAATGCCCCGAAGACCATTTATGTTACAGGATAACTTCAGATGAATTGCATATGGTGAATACACCAGCAAATAGAGTTAGGAGTAAGATCTTGGTAAGTGAAAAATCGATACAAAATAGAAGACTTCAACAATAAGAGCCCCAAAGCTAAGTAAAGTGAGACAGCCGCCTGAATAGCCTAACTTGCATAAGAACCTCCTTGAGAAGCACCTTTTGTGTAGGAAGATGTTCCTGGTTGGAGGTGTTGCCAGGTAATTCAGCGTTGATGTAGGAAGCGGACGTGAGGAGGCTGGCTTCCTCAAGGCATTACATTATATCCTCGGTAGCGGTACTCCTATGTTAAAGTGTGTTTTGCACTTATTTGAGATCGCCTTTTAAAAATGTCTTGATGATAAAGTTAACGAAGGGGTTTTTTTCTGCTATGATGGTAACATGATGGTATCCTGCTTCAAAGGGAAGCTCAAATGGAAGGTTCTTTCAAAGCGTCTTCACTATTTTATTTATGTTTGGTTCTACTTTGTACATATCCGTTGTGTTTGATGTATTTGTTATTAGCTTTTATCCTATTCGACTGGAATTGAGTCATGTGGAAGTAGTAGCGTGACGGTCAAAGAAGTAATGACTGATAGTCGACACTAATTGGTTTTCATTGCACAAGAAGCGCATATATAAGATTTCAGCACACCTACAGGTTTTATCAAAGGGAACACTATTAACTGAAAGTGGACGCCACAGAAATATGTGAAAAACTTCAATCTTTGATACGTTTCGTTTAAAAGACTCGATGCTTGTTTTTTCGTGAGAGTGTCGACTCTTTTCATACACTTTCGCAATACACAGCATATCGTTTCTACTTATTTGAATAACACCAGTATTCGAGGACCCTAATGCTTTGTTTGATGATTGGTTAATGAACTGAAGAACATCACTAGGCGAAAAATGTGCATTTTGTTAAGCGACAAATACTTGTAACTGTGTCATCCTTTCTATCTGAGCATGTGTGCAAACTTTCCACTTGTGCCAACCTTTCTATCTGAGTGCCTAGGTGTGTCTACCTTTATCTCACCTTACAATAAATGTAGCCCGCATTTTTACCCCACTGAGAAATCAATCGGAACACGTCTCAGGTAACTTGCTTATCTTGCATAAGTATCGTTGAATGAAATGAACCGATGTTTATCCGAATGCATTGGGAAAAGGGAAGTAACTCTGGTTTGCGTTATCCCCTAGCTGTCAAAATGGCTGAATCAAAGCGTTTATTCGGTGAACCTTCGGGTATGTATGAATGAATGTCGGTAAGATATATTCGTTTTTCAACCGATCCCTCGGGGCATATGGTGTGATGTCCCAAGTGTAAGCCTATGTAACCATCGCCTTACGGCTCGGGGTGCATAGACTCACACACAGGGTACACCACACTATATTCCCCTCGAGATCGGTTGACAACTTATAGTGTCTGCCTGTCTGTCTAGGAATTTGTATGTACATGTCCATGCCTTTCTATTTAGGAATATGCATGTATATGTGCCTGTCTTTCTATCTAGGAATATGTATGTATCTGTGCCTGCCTATCTATCTAGGAATATATATGTATCTGTGCCTGTCTTTCTATCTAGGAATATGTATGTATCTGTGCCTGCCTGTCTATCTTGGAATATGTATGTATCTGTGCCTGCCTTTCTATCTAGAAATTTGTATATATCTGTGTCTGCCTTTCTATCTAGGAATCTGTATGTATTTGTGTCTGCCTTTCAGATTCCATGTGGCGCAAAGGGCAAAAAAGCTATGAAAATTATTTAAGAGACCTCTGAAAGTAAGTGATACTAGGTGTTCGACATGGGTAAGCATATCCTGCCCTACCGGTGACACCAACCATTCACACAATTTGCATAAAAGAAGTATTTACTGCCTGACGACACGCAGCAGTACTCCTGCCATGCTGTTAAGAAATTTACAAAATAATAACACAACACTCCCAATTACTCCCACATGTTTCAGTTTTATCTTCAGGGAGAAGTGATTGCAGTTACAGAAACTATTATGACGTCACTATGGCATGACGTCACAATGCGACTTATACAAATACTGTGACGCGGCTTGCCATGACGTCACATTGGCGGCTTAAATTGACAGTGGAAACATTCACAATACAAACACATATAATTCATTTATTATGCTTCAAAGTGAGGTTGACCAATCATCGCGCAGAACAACTAACCCCATATGAGTTTGTAATTTCAGAAAAAATCCAAGATGGTTGTTACTGACCTAATATAAGACCGTATACCTTCAGTAACAACCATTTTTGATTTTCCAACACCCACCTCACATATTTCACATGAAAATTCTGGTACAGAAAATCGTTATTCGTATTCGACACTGTTTTGTGTTTTAATATAATTAATTGTGATGAGCAAAGGAATTAATTTTGAAAGAAACCATGTTCGTGACTTTAATAATGAAAATTATAGAGAAAAAAAGCTTACAACGGAGGTCACTGTGTTACAAATAGCAACGTCATAGAACATAATATAGGATGGCGTCACAAACAAGAAACGTGATGCCAGTGACGTCACATAGCAATAGAATAGACAGCAGCCCGTCGTTAGGGGAAAGCGGACTGTTATCAAGTTACAGTGGCCCTCAGATTTCTGTAAACATGCGAACATTTTTATGATCATTCCATCCATTTTAGCTATAATACTTTAAACGTTCACATATAGTGCATTATATATTCCATTGTTAACGTTTATGGTTATATTAAAGCGTTGTATCGGAAACATATGTACTGGTCCTGTCCTTAACCTTTATACCGTTGTAAGTGTCAAGTTTTCATTTTGAAAAGATGCAAAGACAAAGATACCAAATAGTGTAAACTTTTCGGCATAACAGATTCGTTATGGTGTCTTTAGTTGCCGTATACGGTGTCATATTAGGTTAGCAGAAAACATATTGGGCTCAGCTGACGCCTTGCCCAATATAACACCGTATACGACAACTAAAGACACCATAAATAAAAATACGATGCGTTATCTTTTAATCAATGGACACAACTTTTAATGAAAAGTTTTCTTCAGCTTTACCTTCATGGCATCAGCAGTATTCATTTTGAAGAAAGGGATTATCTTAAATTCTATATCCTTTCCTGCTGCGCATTTGTCGATGTGAGCGGTTCAGGGGATGCACCTAGTTTGGGGGTCCATTATCTGTTGTTTATGGACGCGTATTCTCTCCCTTAAGCACTCAGTTTCCAATGTATTCCTCGTGACACCCTTGGCATATAATATCATAAAAAATATGTCAAAGCAGTCAAGGTTGGAGCATACATAAAATGGTTGTTACCTATTTTGTTAACTTTAAACATGAATTTTCAACTATTTATCATCCAAAACAGGCTCCCACAGGAGATTTCGCTTGGATGACATCAAGCGATATCTACATTGTAGATATCGCACCAATGAAATTGCATCACAATGCTTTACAGACAATTGTGACGTCATTGGTTACCACGACGTCACAATCAAATGACATCACTAATGGCTCTGCTACTGAAACTGTTAGCAGTACTTTTTACACCGAAGACACGGCGTATTACTGTCTACAAACTGCAAAAGTTGGAAGGATGATGTTGGATGATAAATACAATCTCACCCTCGTGTCTTTCGATTTCAAATAAATCAACAGTCGTTGGTGAAAGTGGAAAAACTCCTCGGCAAGCCTCGGATATAATTGATACCAAAAGACACTCGGGTGAGATTCTCTATATATTCATAAGTTCTACAATTTCCCCGTTTACATTGAGAGACATTGAATTCTGTAGACTTAATACATGAGTCGAATTTGGCGCGTGTTAATATCTTTTTTAAGTTACTGCTTTGGCGTTTACTTTTAATTATTGCTACATTAGCCATAATTCGATTCATTTTAGTATCAGCATTTAAAATTGGAAATTTTGTCTAAAGCTTTCGAAAAATTCCGGATTCTTTGGATTCATAGGCTAGATTGAATACTGTCATTAATTTGCTTATCGCGTACTTTCAACAGTGTCTTTCTGTCTGTGGCTGTTGCGTTCTTTTTCCTATCTTCCACAGGTTGAATCGGGTGACCCCGGGTTGTAGATAGGATTTTAGTGCTGCAAGTCGTATGTTCGTTGCAGATATATTTGACACAATCATGCAGATACGCCTTGCTAAATTATATGGAATGCTTCTTTTTGGATGACTCGGGTGACAAGATGAAAAAGTTAGATATTGCTTAGTATCTGTAGGTTTATAGTATATCTGTTTCTAGATCACGTCCACATAGTTTTACCATAGTGTCCAAAAACGAGTAACTGGAGTCCATGGTAATATCTAAATGTTTGTTCAAATTATTTAAGATGTTTTAAACAGATTTAATTCTTTGTCGCCAAAGGGCCACAGCATAAAACAATCGTCAAGGCGACTTCAGTTCCTAAATGTTCTTTTCAAATATCCCCAAAACTAACGTAGCAGAAGTGGGTGGCATGTTAGTTCCCATTGCTGTATCTTTTTATTTGTCTATAATGTTCCCTGTCAAAATAAAACGCATTGTTATTCAAAATGAACTTGGGGCACGGGTGGCCCAGTCGTCTAGGGCGCCGCGATTCGCTGTGCAGAGTTGCGTCCCTTGGGCACGCAAGAAACCTTTGATTATGTATCTAGGTATGTCAGCACCATACCAGTGCTCGTGGGTTTCACGTCCGAGACCTGCATCACTTCGGGCTTACCTCCCGCATTAAGCTGACATGCCGTGATATAACTGGAATAATGTTAAAAGCGGCATTAAACCCAACTCACTCACTCAAAATGAACATAACACTATCTATGAAGAATTGGATCGAGAATCTTGTCGGACGTAATTCTGGATATTAGTTTATCCAGAATGATACAGCATCAATCCCTAAATTCACAGCGCACTAATAGTTTCATCTTGGCTATGTGTACTAAATTGGACCTGTCAGTTCCGTAATTCCTTTATAATATTTAAGGTGTCATCTGTCGTTTATTTCTAGTAATCCCAAACCGAGACCGACATTATCCTGTCATTTTCACGGGTTTTGCTACCTTTGGCAAGATGCTAAATTAATTAATAAAAAGGATATCTGTTTAAAAAGAAAAATTCGCTGTTGTTTCATGGCACCGCCATCTTGATTTAATAGAAACACTGCCTCTTTACAAATGCAGTGGGAAAGGAGGTTTAATAACGGGTTTGAAAAGGAAAAGATGTAGTTGTTTCATAGGGTTTAAAACAGACCCTAACGATCTGCCTGTGAATGCAAGTAAAAGGAGTCAGTTTGAAATATTTAATCAAGCGGAATGTTTTAAAATGTCTTTAACAAATACTCACGTCAATATAATCCACTCTGGCATTGTACATGACGTGTCGGGCACCGAGATCGTGGAGGAGCTCCACCAGCTTCTTTGGGTCGTTGATCCTGGCGAGGCATTTCTCCACCGTCCCCATGACGCGAAGAGCGTGGGACTTGAGCTGAGAGCTGTACTTCAGGTCATCTGAGCTCTGTCCCTTGAACGGATAGAACACGTCCTGTACATCCGGATGCGTCTCGAACAGTCTGGCAAACAGAAAATCAATGTAAAAGGAGAACTACACATCTTTTTCACATTATCGTAAGAATACTTAAATTTACTTTTGATCGACGTATCTACGTACAGACGGTGACATAATGGATGGTAACTGGAGTAATATGACAAAAGGGTTTTAAGTTTCTTTTTCAGATAAAAAGGGGAAAGTTAACTCCCACAGGGAACTCACATTATCAAGAGGGTAAGCACAATATCATCGCCCCAAGGTTAACTGTTAAAAAAGGATACATATTTCCTGTGTGGAAATGATAACGACGAAGCTTTCGAACACTTTTCATTTTTTTTAAATTTTTGTCTCAACGGAAAAGGTAAAAACAAACAAACATGTTGAAGTTTATTGGAACCATTACCCTGGGGATGTTAGTAAGTTTATGAATCAATAACGTCGATGACCCGAGGTTATTCATATTGGAATCTCTGTCATAATTAATGGTCTCTTCAAATGGAAGGGGCAATTTCAAGAACCGAGTACACTTACCAATCACTGTAAGATACAGTGATACCACCAGAATGACCACATGCTACCGGTAATACCTGAAGGTCAATGTCACGTTATGTATATGTCCCTTGAGAACCTTCTACCACGATTACTCCCCCCCCACACACACTTAAATCCTACTTGCACGTACAAATGTCCGAACGTCTTTCCCACCCCCATAACAAACGCCATTTTTAACTGCCTATACCCAGCGAGAGATGAAGTAAGACATAAATAGCATTGCCTGTTCCTTGTATATGATCTGGATCAAATATACATCTCAGAGGGATCAGGATTAAATATATTGCAATGTTTTACTTATACTTTTTTGTGACACAATTACACAGTTGTATATTGCAGAAGAACATTCGTATCGTTATTTCAACAACACGTTCGTGCATTTCCACAATTAACCATCCAATGATACGAAACAAAATCCATTTCCCCGGCAACCGCTCATCACAGGGTCCTTGCATTGTCTATGATTGTGCAGTCTGTAGAGATGAGTATCCAGACATCCGGGCGTCACACCAGGACAGACGCAAGGGTAGAAGGACCATGATCATCCTGACAATTATTCATCGAGGATGCTATATGTGGTAATGATTAAGCGTCACAGAGTATTCACATGCTGGGCGCTGTGTTTAGAAAAAGGTCATTCTCCGGAACTGATAAATATCGATGTTATCGTGTCTAGATCGGCAATAGACCTAGGTCAGATTTAATCATTATTTACAAGTTGTCTGTTTGGTTGATGAGTGAGGTTTCACGTCGCTTTTAGCAATATACCATTAATACAACTGCTAGAGCACAAGGACCTTCATGACACATAGAAATGTAAGGAATCAAACTCAGATCTTAAGCATAACGAGGATGTTTTTTAATCATCTAACTATCCCACTACCTACTTCTCGTATGCCATTATGATTATGAATGGTGTTATGAACTTATAGGGTTAAATACATGACTATCAGATGTAAAAAACCCAATGAACTGAAGTACCATGTGTTTTAACCCAAGTTTTCAAACTCTCTAATGCATTATTAATATTAAATTGCAGATGGCATACTCATTCCGTTGTGTGGTAGGTTCGTGATTAAAACGTGCACGCATGTGAGCCAAAAGATGTATCGTGTATTTCCAGGTGAATAAAATCATTTCACTAAAATGACAATATATTTTCTTGCAAAATATGAGATTTTCAAATTTTGTTACGCTGCTATCAACAAAAGGAAACTATAAGAATTAAGTCATACCTTAGTGTGTACAGCTTACGAAATGTAGACACGTTTACCCATGTGTCGTTGTATTTTTATTTGAGTGAATTAGATGACCTGCTCAGCTCTACTTACAGTAAAACTTTTCAAAAACCTGCTCAAATCTTCACTTCGTTTTCGACAATATAACTCAAGGGTCTTTAAAGAATCATCGCTGCGTGGTCTAATATAGGCAGGGAGCATGGGTAAATTCGATATGTTTTCGATCGCTCTTCAGGACTTTTGAGTTAACTAACGAGGTTGCTCCATGTCAAAACAGTTTGGTGCACAAATTAACAATGTAGCACATTCATAAAAGTTGATATAAGTAAGTTAATTTCGTGAAATGAACGAGACCTGCCTAGAATAATATAACAAGATAAGAAATAAACATAGATGGAGTGATCAATTCAACATTAACGTCATTCGGCGGCCGATATCTGACAGCAAACGTTCATTCATTACCATTTGCATTGATCATCAAGATGGAGAGGAGAGAACAAAGCTTGTGATTTTTATATTAATTTTCAGTAGAAGATGTCAACGATGAACTGTTTGAGGTTATAATGCTTCAGACTTTAGCTTGACCATTGTGACCATTGTGGTGCTACATCAATGCCAAGAATGCATTGTGATGGTCCCACATCGCGTTAGTGGCCAGTCCATTCCATTAGGAGGATAAATGCGTCATTTGGGATGGCATGTACTCCCCATATATCATTAGTAAGTTTATCCTTCTTTTGTGTCCCTATGAACTGATGCAGAGCACGCAATTAACGACGAACATATGAAATACTGATCGATAAAATTGATCATGATTAATTAACATCCAAATGAAACCTCAGAAGATAAGACGATATTATAAGACAAGAAGACAAGACAGCTAACTGAAATTGTAAATGTCATTCCCTCAGTGGTATATATTATCGTATACCTGCCACAAGAAAAGGTCCAAACAAAATTTAAGCGAATAATTTTAAAAACATACCCACGAATCAAACGACTACTTAATGATTTAGTTAACCACTGATTCAAGCTGTTTTTGTTTTTTAACTGCTGCACTGAGTGATAAAACAGAGTTTAATACCTCTTTCGACAGTATTTCAATTACACTACAACGTGCCAGTCTATTTGATAAGAAATACCATAAATGATGCTGATTGTAGACGTGATGAACACCTATCCAGAACAATGGACGAATACCAGCTAAACTCAAGATCTTAATCAGAGGTAGAAATGCTACAACCTTTGTGGTTTCATGTAAACGCAATGCACTGAATACACTTGTCATTTTATTACCTGATATTATAGTTTGCGAGTAGCATCTTATATTTTTGTGTCTTATTATTGTTGGGAAAGGTTAAATCATGAAACCAAAATCGTCAGATTATAACTTCAGACTCGTACTGATAAATGTCCTTATAATCTTTTCAACTTCAGCCTCGGATGGAGGTAATAAACAATTTTACTTCTTCAAATCAGGGGCATCCACAAAGGCGTCATTAAGTATAGAAGTGTGGACGCGGTGTAGCAAATGTTGGTTATTGAATGTGGAAATGAATTGCCAGGGACATATTTCCCCGGCGACTGGGAGGGATAGTGTGGAGCATTAATGCGTATTACCTCGTAATACCGAAACTTTATTCACAGAGAAGATACCATAACCCCATCTTTGAAAGGCAACGCTAAATGACAATGGTTTCCTGTTGACGAAGCGTAGTCAAAGATTAAACGTAATTTCACGTCAGTCAAAAAACTTGCAAATTTGAATCAAGTCGTTCAAGAAAGACTATACTTGCCTTTTATTTCACACTTTATATCAGTGTACATAAACAGCCTTAGAAATATTCACGAAAACGTTATAAGAGAACAAACTAACCACGACAACTAGCATACACAAATCTCTCATACACACAATGGAACAAAATTATTGAAATCACATTTAAGCAAGTCCACAACACTTTGGCAAGTTTAGTATCTAAAACTTTTTGTGTTCCTTTTAATTTTATATCAAAGAGACACTTTTTACTATCACTATTACTATCGACTATCAGAGACCATTATTGAGATGCAGTTGGGACACCAGTTTCCTCGGGGGATAACGAACCCGAAATCAGTTCGCTATTTCAGAAGTTCATTATTCATATCAGTGGAACGTTATTTGCCACCTCTAAGGGATTGAGTAACATGGATCGGACTATCTGCTGCAGCCTACTTCGTTATGTTTTAACCACTTAGAGACAATGTATAAAGTTCACTGATTACAACGTCTAGACAGAAGTTGGAGAGAAAGGGCACAGGTCACGGAGTGTAACGACTCCTTACGCGGAGAACCTCTTAAATGTCAATCAAGCGGTAAATATATTAATTAAGAAATAAACGACGAGTAGGAGTTGTTTATCGTACAACAAAACACTGGATGGAGAATAAACCATGAGGCACGCAGCCCCGAGTTGTTTATTCTCCCTGTAGTGTTTTATTGTGCGATAAACAACTCCCACTCGTCGTTTATTTCTAACATGAAATATCAACATTATGTACAGCCTCGTACACCATTTAAAAATATTTACCCGTATTTAAATCATGATGACTCACTGAATAGAGACATTTGATGAACTGGTTCCTTCTTCAACGCATATACTCATAATTTTAACTCTGATTATCTCTGAGACCGCCTCCGTGGTCTTGTGGTAGAGCGTCCGCCCGGAGAGCGGAAGGTCCAGGGTTCGATCCCGGGCCGCGTCATACAAAAAGACGTTAAAAGATTGTACTTGTTGTTACCCTGTCTGGCGCTCGGCATTACGGGGCTAAAACAAGGACTGGTCGGCTCGGAGTCAGTATACTGTGTCTGAGTGGGGTATTCATGTGAAACTGCGGCATGGTATCTCAGTGAGCTAGCACTATAAATCGGCATCAGTCCGGACTAGTACAAGCAGCCACACACACACATACACGTGCATGCACGTCGCTATATAAGTGCAATAATCTTGGACGCGACGTTAAACCCAATTTCACCTCACCTCACCTCTGATTATCTCTACCTTTTCTCCCAATACCGATTGTCATATTTCCCAGAAAGCGATCACGATAGACACCTCCCTTTAAACAAATAAGGTTGTCTAATTGACGCCGTAATCAAGTTGCAAGCACATGTTCGAATCACCAGAAATGACGTCATGACAGAATGTTTTATCGTGAAATAAACCACGCTTCGTTCGTCATTGTTCTTTGCGAT